TGTTTAAGAAAAAGATTTAAGCAGAGAGTGCCTGTTTATAAAAAGACACAGGAACTCTTGTTCTGTGGTGGCCCATCAGAAGAAGGCGGGCAAAACCACTGCAAGCACTTATCACTAATTCACCATGAACTCCCTTCATGGGGCCAAAATATACTGAAGAATGGAGACATTTAACTGTTCAGAGGTACAGAGGCTACTTGTTTGGGAAATTATTTTAAATTCTGAACCATAAAGCATTAAAATGTACTAAAAAGTTGTGTTAGACCCAATTTAGTTTTACCTAAATGCATTAACAAGTTAGAGAAATAAAAAAGGACCCTGGCTGCACCGGGTCAGTGTGATGACATCGTTCATGTTTGCCCTTCTGCCAACATTTAGGAAAACATACAGAACAACATACTATTGATGGAGTGAACACAATAAATACATCTTCACAGCTGCACAGACGGTGTCACATGACCCATCACAAACAGAGCAGTGATTCAGCTAAATGCCAGAAATGTCAATGTTAGACCAGCTTCCAACACAACAGTCCGAGCTGCCCCAGCAACGGTGTGTTCAGACCGGATTTCACCTGGTAAAATTTAGTCACGTGGTTCCAGCAAAAGGCAGGCGGGACAGGAAGTAGCGTGGGCCAGGGTTGTATGTGTAAACTGCTGTAGCTAGTGAGACGAGCAGGGCTGACAACCATCAAGACGAAAATTATACAGCTATTATGTTATTAGCTGCTATCACACAAACACATTACTGTCATTAACCTCTGTCACTACCTGTGCAGTCACTGAATCGACGGAGCATCCCTCCTCTTCTGCTTCTTACATGATTTTGCCATATAATTATATAAACAATCCATCTTTCCAGAACGAGAGGGCATTCTACCCACTCTCTCTAATTGTCTTGATATAAGAGAGCCTCGTAATTTCACTTGTCAATCAGAGTGAACTTTCTGCAAAGCTAAAGAGGCTCACAACCAGAAAACAAAGCGTCTCATCCCCGGTTCTTCAAAAGAAATTAATGGGGAGTGATCTGGTACATACCAACAATGGCAGTGAAGAAGAATGCTACCAAGCAACCAAGTATGTAAACTATGCACAACTTGTTATGGAGGAGGGAAATACATTTAACACCATTTATAGACCTCAAAAGACACCTTAAAAACTCCACAAGGCACCTCCAGGTCTGTGGCCAGGCCTTTTTTAAAGACCAGCCTGTCGTTGCATGGTGGTTTTTGGTGACGGTACGAAGAATGCAGCCACACACCCTGAAGACAAGACCGTCACAGGCATGTTTACTACTGGAATCACCGGCAGCCAAACCTTAGTGAGTCTACTCTCTGGAGCTAAAACAATCCTAACTATTTTGACAGGTGATGAGAGCATGCAGCATCACATGGTTTCCATGGTGTAAGTGCTGTGTAAGATCACTGGCTTTAAAACTGCCTGATCTGCCTCGCATTTTCCCCACGAGAACAATGTCTAAGCCTCAAATCCTTTCCGATTAATAATGTCCTCTCTGACCCCTGTAGGGAAAGTTTGAGTTTCCTTTGGACAGAGATTCAGTGTATCGAAGGTCAGGTCTAACAGAATGGAAATATATTCTATCTCTCGTGCAATGAAAGTGTTAAATGCTTACGATGAGTCAGCTGATGATCAGTTTTCCATATACCAAGAAGTGGGTGGTAATGATGTTTCAAGCATTGATTGTTGGTTGGATGGTGATGGCTGGATGTGCTACAGGTTCTATATGCACTTATATGAAAGGATGTAGGAGGTTTTGGCTCATGTCTTACATATACTGTATGTTTTATGTACCTATTTCATGATGAAATTTGTGTGTTCGTCCAGGTTTATACTCACAAGCCAGTCTCTAAACGCCAGAGTCTCAAATCTTTTTAGATACCGATAACATGCGGAAGTTGTGTGCTTGTACACACTCTTCACGTTGCTCGGTACATCCATTTTCAATGTTTTAAAAAGCTCTCTCCATGTTACAAAGTGATTTGCTATTTCTCCAGTTTGTGTCACTACAGAGGAGGATGAGGGAAGAGGTAAGACATGTCCTTGAAGTTAGGGGTGTAATGTGTGTTAGCAGCCATTCAAGCAACTACTTGGCATTTAGAAATCCCCAGACAAATCAGTAGGTGGTGAGATCTCCAATCGTCTGGTATTGCGAGACTGGTCCAGTTTTCACTTGGCTGCGGGACAAATTTCTCTTTGGGGAAAAATTAACTTTAAAAGTTCAGTTATCCAGTTCCAACAAGTAAAACCAACTCTGCATTGACAAAGAAAAGCAAGCAGGCGACGTGCCTCGCCACTGTATCCTTTAGGCTAAAATATTTCCAAACATTCAACAGTACACTCTTGTTGCTAGTGGCACGCCTGAGGTGATTGTGAAAATGGGCGTCTTATCCAGAATCCAAATCCACCCCTCGCTTGCCACAAGTTAAAGTCACATACAGTAACATACTCCTAACTGTGGTCCTAAAAACAAGCCGCCCGGGCCGTGGAAATACATTTTCGGCCATTCAGCTGGCGTTCTTATCCAGGATACGAGTCCAGGACCTTGTTCAAGGACACAATGAGAGTACACATGACTGATTAGAGAGCATTCTACCTGTGACAGACTCAAGCCCTTCCTTTTTGGTTAGAGACGAATCATTCAAACCAAAATGAAACCTTAAAAAACAAGAACTTTACGGACGATGCTACAATCTTTTAGAAAATAACTGTAAAACTGTTGAGTGTTGCTACATTTTAAGCTGAAATCACTAAAAGATCAAACAGATTTCCTCACGATGCAGTCACAAGTCTTTCCTCCCCCCCCCCTTGTGACATACAGTGCGGTTTTACCTCCTCACGTCTCTACGAATCATTCAAATTCAACTATCAGAGAAGGGAAATTCACTCTTGGATTCAACCGCTCACGGGTTATAAACACACCCTGTGACGACAACATCTAAGTAGACATGGCTTTGTATTACGGGGGTCACAAGGGTGGGGGGGAGTTCGGAGCCACTGCTCTAAAACACACAATCCAGCTTTTGGTCTTTGAATGCAAAATTTAAAAAAAAAAAAAAAAAAAAGGGGGGGGGCATTACTGACTGGTTATCTCAACCTCTGGCTCCCTGCCAGGTTTACTTGCTGATGTGACAGCTTTTGGAGCACATCGACCCAGACCACTCCAGATTCAGGGTACAGGCTGTACCCTGAAGTCTACATTAGTTACAGCTTCAGCACTGCAACAAACAACACAAATCACAAAGAACCAGGATGACCTGACTGTGTTCAGGGGGAGAAGAAGAAGGGGGAAAAAAAAGCACACATGGCTTTGAGGCAAGACACCACGTTGCCTTGACACAGAGCAGAGAAGGGAGCTGTCTCCATGTGATTAAACACTAATCAGTCCACATTATGGATTAGAGTGGCTTTAATTCTGGCAATCAGCCTTCAATTTGACCAAAACCCCCACGTGTATTTTTATGACAAAGCATAATTAGTTGTAATTTATAGCTCCGGACCAGCGTGAGCTCATACAGGAGCCATGATGACTGTCTGTTAGCTTCCACGCTAACTCAAACTAGCGGGGTGGACAAGCTACCAGGAGCTCGGGGTCTTTTTTATTTATTTATTTATTTTTTTTAAAAGCTCTGACAACAAACACACGACCACGAAACCACGAAAACAACACCAGGCAGCTTCAACCCCCCCCCATGTCAGGCTGCACCGATCCAACGCAGCTAGCCTGCCAGCTAACTAGCGCCCATGCCTTTCTCTCGGGGAACACGTGGAGTGAACACGTGACGACTCACAACAAACCTGCTCCTTTATTTAAAGATTAAACGAGACGTAATGTTTCACACTAGGTTGGGTTTGTTTTGTTGTTTTGTTGTTCGTACGGCTGACATGTTTTAGCACACGGGGACTGTGAGGGAGGAGGAGGAGGAGGGAGAGGAGGAAGAGGAAGAGGGGGTAAAAGAAACCACCTGGAAGCTAAGCTAACATCTGAGTGGGACGGGCTTAACGACGCACTAGGCCAAATAGGGGTGTGTGTGTGTGTGTGTGTGTGTGTGTGTGTGTGTGTGTGTGTGCTATTGTTAGCTGGCTAAGCAGCTACACAGCCAGCCAGACTCGTGGCTTTTTTTTTTTTATTATTATTATTATTATTATTTATTTATTGATTTTCCCCCTAATTGATGCAATGCGAGACAAGAGGCGGATGTCTCATTAATGTCTGTCTGCTGCACCAAAACAAACAGTAGTAACCACCAGGGTTTAAATCTTTTGGCAAGCAATGTGTCACCTAATGTGTGTGTGTGTGTGTGTGTGTGGAGATGAGGCACACAAGGGGGGAGGGAGGGGAGGAAGAACATGGTGATGAAGCAAGGATATCTGAGCTACTGTCTAATTCTAACTTTAAAGTTTTTAAGCATGCATGGTGACACAGCTGGAAATTAAAGTTGTTTTCCTCCTCTTCCTATTAAAAAATACACCCTATTGATGCCACAGTGGCCGATGCATACAGCTTTTATCTGACTTTACAGCCAATGCACAACACTCATATCTCCTCATTTATACAGCTATAGCAACACTAAAATAATTAAAAAGTCATATATAATGTAGGAAAGATTATTATTAGGAGAGCATTTAAACTTTTTTTTGTTTGTTTGTTTAAAAAAAGGGTGTGATCCCTTGTGCAATCAGCCACCCATGGGTCCCCACTCCCAGAATAGCCTTCACAGGGAGGAGGAAGAAGAAGAGGAGGAGGGGGTTTAACTCCAAATATAACCAGCTTGCAGGGAGCAACAAGAGGGGCTACCACACACACACACACACACACACACACACACATATATATAAATGTAATAAATGAATATCTGACCCCTGTGACAGCCGCTCGGTCGCCCCTGTGTGAGCACACCTGGACGGACAACCGACCAACACCGACAACAACACTTGACAGCCAGTTAAAAGGAACATGTAAAAGGGGGGGGGTTTACAAACCGTGGTGTGCTTGTCCATTCACGCTGACCACGGTCACCGCATTCATTTTCCTAGTCCACGGGTTCACCTTGGGCGGGGGAGCCTCAGTAAACTCCTTTCTGTTGCCGCTTTTAACACCCTCCTCGCTTTGCTTGTCGTCGCTGTCACAGCCTCCTTTGCCCTCCTCCTCTTCCTCCTCCTCTTCTTCCTCCTCGCCCGTCGCCTGCTTGGAGGTTTGCTCCTCCGTACCGGGGGTGCCTCCCTGCCCGGGGCTGCTGCCGCCGCTGCTGCTCCCCTGGTCGGCGACACCCGTCTGCCGCTTGGCCCCGTCGCCCCGGCCGCCCTCCTCTTCCTCCGGCTCACCGCGGATCACTTTGCCGTGCTCCTCCGCCTTGGCGAGCGGGTTGCCGGGCAGGAGAGTCTCCACCTGAGTGGCCATTTCCCACCACCGTCTTTCTTCCCCCCTCAGGATTACCAGTCCTCCCTCCCCGGCCCTAATTCGCCTTCAATTTCAAGGGGGAAATGTGAAGTTGTTCCGCGGAGTCTGCCGCTCCTCTGTCGCTCCTAGACCCGAAGAGCTTCAGAGTAGTCAGCGCTGGATTAAAACATGTGTAAAAAAAAAATAAAGAAACGTGTCCGAGGGCCTCTCAGGATTACAACCTTAACTCCACCACTAGCAGCAATATGGATGATCCCCACCACGCGATAGAGGGGTGCGCGCACGTACGCCGTAGAGGGGGAGTAGCCACGTAAAAAAAAACCACGGGAGCGCGCTTTTGGAAGGGGAGGGAGGAGGGAGGAGGGGGGGGAGTCAGGTTGAGATGCTGCTTTCAAGTGCTTCCTCATCGTAAAACCTCTTGATTTCCTGTTTCGGAAGTCATAAAGTGTCACTTTATTTTTGGAGCGTAACTGAATGCGTCATGGATAGAGAGGGGTTTTTTTTTTTTCCCTAATGTGTTAAATTAGGAGTTTAATCAAGTTCATTCCTCTTTATTTACTCTTTATTCCCAAAAATGTGTTTAAAAGGAGGAATAAATCAACCTAGTATTGTGTTGCGGCATGTTTTTAATGCACATACTAGGTTGGTTTATTCCAAAATTGTGTTTAAAAGAGGAATAAACCAACCTAGTATGTGCATTAAAAACATGCCGCAACAAAATACTAGGTTGGTTTATTCCTCTAATGCACATTGTGTTTAAAAGAGGAATAAACCAACCTAGTATTGTGTTGCGGCATGTTTTTAATGCACCATTTTGTTATAAATTGCAACTGCCCCTCAATAAAAGCTTGGATTAAAATGCAAAACATCATCTTGATTATACAAATAACATATGCTCCAAAAAATAAATAAAATAAAGTGGTCAATACACCGTCACCTCTCACTGCCCTCTACATGTCACAGTCACAGCAACTTGGGTTTCAGAAACTTTCCAGGTTGTAGATCAGCTTTATCGTGTCTGTAATGTGTGGTTTGATTAGATTAAAGCTCTCTTTGTCCTCCTTTGAGGAGTTGATTCATTTCTGTAGCCGGCCACATAGCCGTTGGCCTAACACATGACAGGAAGGCTATTCATCAGACATATCAAACCTTAGTAGCTAATGACACATTGATCATATAGGCTGTCTGTTTTCTAACACATGAAGGCCTATGTTACTTTTAATTTAACACAAGTCACCACTGCTTGAAGAAGTATTAATTTATAATTTATGTAAAAATTGTAAAACCACAATGTCATAATACTCTATTAAAAGTAAAACATTTTTACTTGTAGACCTACAGTCATTGTCATTTTTGGATACACCACGTCAGTGAATCCCTTTGTATTGAATTCTTAAGCAACTTGAACATCCCCTTTATTTTTCATCTATTTGTGTTTTTGTTAATTTTTGACAATCGATCACTTTTTGTTCTTTTTGTTCTTTTGCCTATGTTGTAAACACATTTGTTCATATCAAAATATACTTCAACTATCAAAAGTAAAATTACTCAGACTAGTGTATTATTATATGAATTAGATTATTGGAATATTATTGACATGTAAGCCGTGTTTTATTGTTTTAGCCTGGTTAACTAGTGTTATTTATTTAACATTTCTGTAGATTGATCAATAACAACGCATCAAATCTATAGGTTGATGTTTTATAGGAAATATCTTAGTCTGCAAAGTAAGTAAGTGAAATATAAAGTAGCATTAAATGGAAATACAAATACTACAAGTAAAGTACCTTGAAATTGAAGGTGTACTTGCTTCCGTTTTACCAGTCACACAGAAAATATTAAGATTAGTGTGCAACTTATAGCAAAACACCCCCCTTTCGATTTAATTGATTTGTTTATTTAATTCAATGTTTATTAAAAAAATGTATGTATTTGTATTAAATAAACATAATTTTCATATTTAAATGCATTCACTCACTCACTCTGCCTGCATATTTGTACACATAATGTTCACACACCCGTCTCTACGATCAATTAGATTTTTCCGATTGTCGTGAACGCAGCGCGGAACCCTGGATGACGTCGGTCTCGCCCTCTGGACGCGTCCGCAAATCACCGTTACCTCATTAAATATCCGTCCAAAACACGAGCTTTTCTCTGTGACTACAGGGTTATAAAACCCTGTGATGAAGAGCTGACATTTGTCCGCCTTTCACTCGAGTGTTTCACGCAACCGTGTTTTCTAAAAACATGTCAAAGAAGGTGGGAAAACGCACCTAAAAAAAAAAAAAAACCCCTAACCACACACGTGTCCACACAGGAGCTACACGTGTGCGTTCACGCTCACAGTTTTCCAGATAATTTTTATAATTTCACCATAAGTAACTGGAAGTGTGTGTGTGTGTGTGTGTGTGTGTGTAACATCCAACGTGTGCATCAACAGTAAAGGGCCTTTTCAGTCAGTGTGGTTGATTATATAATAGCGAGAGAGAGAGAGAGTTAGAGAGAGATGGGAAAGAGTGAAAGTGTATTTATGTTTGAGAACGAAAGTTATGGTTTCTGTTGAATGAAAAAGAAATGAAGCTTGAAATTGTGACTCTGCAGCCACAATTGCTTTTTAACAGTGGAAGAAGTGAAAGTCCTGAATTCATGAGCTTACTTACCGAAAGTAAAAAAGCATAATGGCCCATTTCAGAGAGATAAATTAATGTGTAAGAATCACTAATGTTGCAGCTGCTAAAGGAGGAGCTAAATTATAACTGATGTATAAACTGCAGGGTGTCTTAACCTGTATATCATAATTGATTGGTTCTATATTTTGTATTATTAATCTGAATCTGCAATGTAAAATAAGTCAGTAACGTTGTTAGATAAATGTAATAAAGTAAAAAGTACAATATTGGCTATATAGTATAAAGTATAAAGTCGCATGAAAAAGAAATACTCAATCCTCAAGTTCAAGCACATTAAAGTTGTATTACAGCTCTTGAGTAAATGTATTTAGTTACATTCAACCACTGCTTTTTATTCAGATTAGTAAAGTAACAGACGCAGTTTTCCTCAAGGAGACATGGAAAAGGCAACGTTCACCTGTTCATGCAGAGTTATTAATAGAGATCCGTGGTGGAAGAAGTTTTCAGACGTTACTGAAGTAAAAGATGGGTTGTCTTTAAAATTCAAACAGTAATCAAAAGTAAAAGTACTAATACAGAAGTAGAACGGCCCCATGCAGAATGTTTTATCCTAATTATAGATTCATGTCTTAGAAACATTGCACTGTTGTCGGTAGTTGAGGGGGAGCTAATTTTAACAGATTTATTTAACCTGTGATGTGGTTTAATATATAACAATGCATCATTTGTTCATCGTATGTTTATGAAGGTTTGTTTCATCTACAAAGTCACTGTGTATAGTCACGCTCCTATTTTTTCTATTCTCATTATATCTTGTATTTTTCTATTCTATTTTTTATTTAATGTGTATTTTCTTATCTGTAGCAAGTGAATTTCACCCAGTGTGGGATCAATAAAGTATATGTTATCTTATCTTAATTACAACTGTATCCTTCTGAAATGTAGTTGAGTAGAGTTATAACGTGGCATAAAATGTAACTCAAGTGAAGTATAAATACCTCCTACCTTACAATACTTTGGTAAGTGAATTCACTTTCCACCACTGGATTAGATTTATCTTTAAAGTACCAATACAACAAAATCCTGTTTATCTTATAACCAGAAAGTGTATATAAACTATAAAGATGAATGGATGTACAACATAAACAATAAAAACCAACATAGTTGTAGTAATGTAACTAAGTAGAGTATAAACTCTAATAAATTATGCAACATTTTTAATAATCCACATTGGAAACTAAATAACAGGTTTTAACTCCCCACAGTAATTCATCATGTTCACATGTCATATACAGTTACAGGGACTGTACTGATGACCTTCCACATACATGTATGAACAGAGACCAGAGTCAGCTACTGGTTACCGCCCACACAACATTTCTCATTCATTGTTTTTTTCCACCAGGTGAACTACTATGTTAATTTTTCTCATCATAACTGTGACATTAGGCTCTTAAATTGGTCACTGTGTTGGTATGTAATTTCAAAACATCTTAAAGTCTCTTCAATTCCAGTAAAAACATGGAGGTCATGTCGGTACATGCACAGTAAATTCTTTCTTGTGCTTGACAAGTGCTGATTGGAGGATTGGCTACTGGAAGAGCTGGTGTGGCCTTGGGGCGGCTGTTCACAAATATCTGGAGAATATTCAGTATATATTCAGTATGCTTAAAACAAAAGTGTTGTCCGACCACATCTTATTTTTCTGAATAGCCACATTGAAAGACGGTGTGAAAAACCTGCCGTGAAGTTATTCAAGTTATTACACTCAGTTGTAGACATGAAAAGCAGTGGAAATAAAAAAAAAACCCTGCAACTTCCACACCTCTGCACACAACTGTCACTTTCAAAAAAGCTGCAAAACAGCCTTCCCAATTCTGCTGTCAGACAGGTCTGAGGGGAAGGGGTTTTACTCTTGTTTGAAGCATACTGAGGCCTTTTAATGACCTCCAACATGTGTGGACTTCCAGAAACATATGATGGGGTTAATGTGTTCGCACTAATTTTAGATATGAAATTAAAAAGCACCATAATTTAGATGGTGAAGGTGTTCAAATCAGCAGCAGTCCTGGAAAAACCTGTTTTCTGTTAGTATGAACGAATCAACATGTGCTCAACCTGTTAATGTGCATATTACTGTACATACAGGTAACCGAAAAGAAAAGAGGAAGAATATGACATTTTTATATTAAAATCCAAAAATACAAAGTTTCACCAAAACATCAAGGCACAAAATAAAATAGCAGACTTAAGTCACAACATTGGAGAAACTTAAGATTCAATGCACAGCTAAGTGCATTTCAACAATTAGCAAGAGTGTTTTTTGGTCCAGGTTTGGTTAAATCTGGTGTCCTGGACGTAATTGTACACAGGACACAATAATAAAATGTAATTATTTCAGTGTAAATACATGAATTACAAGCAAGAATAAAATAGCAACAATAAATCACCACACATTGTTATGGGGTGTTAACTCCAGATTGTTGTGGCAACAGATATTGTGGTATTAAAAGGTTAAAGATCGATCACTATCCTGTGTCATATCTGGTCTGACATATTAGGACCATGTGTTAAAAAGTGCTGACCAACAGCACAGAAGCTTCTCTGCAGCTGGAGTTTATTAGGACTTCAGCTTGCAGGATTCC